TTAAGGCATAATGTTTGGAAAACATAATGTATTTATATTCTTGATGTAGATTTCAATAACATGCTAAGTTTTGCTCTGGTTAAATTTTTCCTGTATCCTCAGAGAAATTAATGACAATATTTTGACATAAGGTTTTCAGATTTTGCATTATTAAAATTAGAGTTGCATAGAATAAAAGAAAACAATCCTTTTACTAGTCCTAGGAAAGGATTAGATAAGCATGGCATGTTTTATAAATTAAACACAGTTCTTATTTGGATCAAAAGTCTAAGCAGTTTTTATAGATTTCTCAGGTTAAATGGAAATGTATTCCACTTTTCATAATGTGAAAAAATGTCTAAATTTGTAATTGTAATATTTGTATGCTGTGAGCTACCTCCACTTTATAAACTTACCAAAGTTCCTCCAGAGATACAAATTATGACTAATAATACTTGTTAACCAATTTAAAATTTTCCAACTAAAAGTTAATAATTGATTAAAGTAGTTGTTTATCAACTTTCTAAGCTGGAATTCAGACACAAATCCTTAACCTTTTTAAATACTCCCTTTCTCCACTCCTTATCCCCACATCTTCTTCCCCAGTAAAGTCACAAAACCCCCTAAATTTAAGTATTAAAATTTTTTAACTTTGTAGATTCAGAGGGTACATGTGCAGGTTTTTTACAAGGATATGTTGCCTGACATTTAGGTTTGGGGTGTGACCTACGTAGTGAGCATAGTACCCAATACATAGTTTTTCAATCCTTGCCCTCCTCCCTGTTGTGTCTGTGGTTCCTATCTTTATGTCGGTGTGTACACAGTGTTTAGCTCCCACTTATAAGAGAGAATATGCAGTATTTGATTTTCATTTTCTGTGTTAATTTGCTTAGGATAATGGCCTCCAGCTGCATCCATGTTGCTGCAAAGGGCATGATTTCATTCTTTTCATGGCTGTGTAGTATTCCATAATGCAAATGTACCACATTTTCTTTATCCAGTCCACCAATATGAGCACCTAGGTTGATTCCATTGTCTTTGCTATTATGAATAGGGCTGCAGTGAACATATGAGTGCATGTATCTTTTTGGTAGAATGATTTCTTTTCCTTTGTGTGTATAGCCAGTAATGGGATTGCTGGGTTAAATGGTGGTTCTATTTTCATTCCTTTGAGAAATCTCTAAACTAATTTCTACAGTGGCTGAACTAATTTACATTCCCACCAACAGTGTATAAGCATCTCCTTTTCTCTTCAGCCCTGCCAACATCTGTTATTTTTTGACTTAAAAAAATAATTTCAACTTGTGTTTTAGATCGGGGGTACACGTGCAGGTTTGTTACATAGGTATATTGTGTGATGCTGAGGTTTAGGGTATGAATGATACTGTCACCCAGGTAGTGAGCATAATACCTGATAGGTAGTTTTTTAGCACTTGCCCCACTCCCTCTCTCCTCTCTCTAGTAGTCTCCAGTGTCTGTTTTCCTGTGTTTATGCCCATGTGTGCCCAGTACTTAACTCTCACTTACAGATGAGAACATGTGGTTTGGTTTTCTGTTCCTGCGTTAATTCACATAGGATAATGGCCTCCAGCTGCATTCATGTTGCTGCAAAGGCATGATTTCATTTTTTTAATGATGAATGCATAGTGTTCCACGGTGTATATGTACCACGTTTTCTTTACTGAATCCATCATGGTTGATTCCGTGCCTTTGCTGTTGTGAATAGTGCTGCAATCAATCTACGAGTACCTGTGTCATTATGGTAGAACAATTTATATTCCTTTAGAGATATATATATATCCAATAATGGAATTTCTGGGTCAATTGATAGTTCAGTTTTAATTTCTTTGAGAAATCACCACAATGCTTTCCACAGTGGCTGAATTAATTTACATTCCCACAAGCAGTGTATAAACATTCCCTTTTCTCCATAACCTCTTGCCAGCCATCTGCTATTTTTTGACTTTTTAATAATAGCCCTTCTGACTTGTGTGGGATGGTATCTCATTGTGTTGTTTTTTTTCTTTTCTTTTTCTTTTCTTTTCTTTTTTTTTTTTTTTGAGAGAGGGTCTCTCTGTCGCCCACGCTGGAGTGCAGTGGCACAATCTTGGCTCACTGCAGTCTCTGCCTCTCGGGTTCAAGCAATTCTCCACAGATGTGTACCACCATGCCCAGCTAATTTTTGTATTTTTAGTAGAGATTGGGTTTCACCATGTTGGCCAGGCTGTTCTTGAACTCCCAGCCTCATGTGATCCACCCACCTCAGCCTCTGAAAGTGCTGGGATTATAGACCTGAGCCACTGCACCCAGCCTTGTTGTGGTTTTGATTTGCATTTCTCTAATGATTAATGATACTGAGCATCTTTTCATCGGCTTGTTGGCCACATGTATGTCCTCTTTTGAAAAATGTATTTTCACATCCTTTGACCACATTTTAATGGGGTTCTTTGTTTTTTGCTCGAAATTTGTTTAAGCCCCTTGTAGATTCTGGATATTTGTTGGATGCATAGTTTGCAAATAATTTCCCCCATTCTGTAGGTTTTCAGATTGCTGTGTTGATAGTTTCTTTTTCTGTGCAGAAGCTTTTTAGTTTAATTAGATTCCACTTGCCAACTCTTGGGCTTTTGTAGCAGTTGCTTTTGAGGACTTAGTAATAAATTCTTTGCCAAAGTTGATATCCAGAGGGTATTTCCTAGGTTTTCTTCTAGGATTTCTATAGTCCTTGGCCTTACATTTAAGTCTAATCCATTTTGAATTAATTTTTTTTTTGAGGTGGCATCTGGCTCTGTCACCCAGTCTGGAGGGCAGTGGTGCCATCTTGACTCACTGCAACCTCTGCCTCCAGAGTTCAAGTGATTCTCCTGCCTCAGGCTTCCAAGTAGCTGGGATTATAGGTACATGCCACCACGCCTGGCAATTTTTTTTTTCTTTGTATTTTTAGTAGAGACAGGGTTTCACCATATGGGCCAGGCTGGTCTCAAACTCCTGGCCTTAAGAGATCTGCCAGCCTCGGCTTCCTAAAGTGCTGGGATTATAGGTGTGAGCCACCCCACCTGGCCATCTTGAATTAATTTTTGTGTATAGTGATATGTAGAGGTCCAGTTTCATTCTTCTGCATATGGTAAACCAGTTATCCCAGCACCATTTATTGAATAGGGAGTTCTTTCCCCATTTTTTATTTTATTTTATTTTATTTTATTTTTATTATTATACTTTAAGTTCTGGGATACATGTACAGAACTTGCAGGTTTGTTACATAGGTATACACGTGCCATGGTGGTTTGCTCAACCCATCATCTACATTAGGTATTTCTCCTAATGCTATCCCTCTCCTAGCCCCCACACCCCCCAACAGGCCCCGGTGTGTGACGTTCCCCTCCCTGTGTTCATGTGTTCTCATTGTACAACTCCCACTTACAACTGAGAACATGCAGTGTTTGGTTTTCTGTTCCCGTGTTAGTTTGCTGAGAATGATGGTTTCCAGCTTCATCCATGTCCCTGCAAAGGACATGAACTCATCCTTTTTATGGCTGCATAGTATTCCAGGGTGTATATGTGCCACATTTTCTTTATCCAGTCTGTCATTGATAGGCATTTGGGTTGGTTTCAAGTCTTTGCTATTATGAATAATGCTGCAATAAACATATGTGTGCATGCATCTTTATAGTAGAATGATTTATAATCCTTTGGGTATATACTCAGTAATGGGATTGCTGGATCAAATGGTGTTTCTGGTTCTAGATCCTTGAGGAATTGCCACACTGTCTTCCACAATGGTTGAACTAATTTACACTCCCACCAACAGTGTAAAAGTGTTCCTATTTCTCCACATCCTCTCCAGTGTATGTTGTTTCCTGACTTTTTAATGATCACCATTCTAATTGGCGTGAGATGGTATCTCATTGTGGTTTTGATTTGTATTTCTCTAATGACCAGTGATGATGAGATTTTTTTCATGTTTGTTGGCCACATAAATGTAGACTTTTGAGAAGTGTCTGTTCATAGCCTTTGCCCACTTTTTGATGGGGTTGTTTGCTTTTTTCTTGTAAATTTGTTTAAGTTCCTTGTAGATTCTGGATATTAGCCCTTTGTCAGATGGATAGATTGCAAAAATTTTCTCCTATTTTATAGGTTGCCTGTTCACTCTGATGATAGTTTCATTTGCTGTGCAGAAGTTCTTTAGTTTAATTAGATCCCATTTGTCAATTTTGGCTTTTGTTGCCATTGCTTTGATGTTTTAGTCATAAAGTCTTTGCCCATGCCTATGTCCTGAATGGTATTGCCTGGGTTTTCTTCTAGGGTTTTTCTGGTTTTAGGTTTTATGCTTAAGTCTTTAATCCATTTTGAGTTAATTTTTGTAAGGTGTAAGAAAGGTGTCCAGTTTCAGTTTTCTGCATATGGCTAGCCAGTTTTACCAACACCATTTATTACATAGGGAATCCTTTCCCCATTGCTTGTTTGTGTCGGGTTTGTCAAAGATCAGATGCTTGTAGATGTGTGGCGTTATTTCTGAGGCTTCTGTTCTGTTTCATTGGTTTATATATCTGTTTTAATACCAGTACCCTGCTGTTTTGGTTATTGTAGCCTTGTAGCCTTTTTGATTTTAGCTGTAGCCTTTTTGATTTTAGCTACTCTATTGAGTGTGAAATGTTACCCTATTGTGGTTTTAATTTACGTTGGATCATGTTGAACACTTTTTTATGTACCTATTTGCCATTCTTATAACTTCTTTTGTGAAGTGTATATTCACTCTTTACTGCAAGGGGATTATTAGTCTTTTTACCCTGGATTTGGAGTAGTTTGTATATATTGTGGATATGTCTTCTTCTGTATAGCTATCTTCTTGCTTCTACTGTTTTAACAGTAATAACAAAAGGATGTTATACATAAAAGATATTGATACATTTAATACTTCTAAGCTGCTGGCAGTTTTGGAAGGAAAGTAATTAGTATTTAAAACACAGACTTTATAACTTTAAATTTAAAACAAAAATTACATTCTATTTTGTGTTTGATTTCAGGTGCAGTTAAAAACTAGCATTTCTAGTCAGTATGTAATTCGGATGCAACCGACTAATAGATGCCTTTCTACACTGGAGTGTGCAGCTGTTGCTCTTTCCATCTTGGAGAAAAATAATTACATACAAGAGGTACGTCTTTGGAAGGTTATAGTTTTTGAAAGTGGGAATTTTCTTGGATTTTACGTAGAAGATTTAGACATGCTTGTTAAATTTGTAACTCATGTGACAAGCAGAATCTTCTGTGATAGAAATTTATGTACTTTTATAACCTTCTTTCCCCTCTGGTGTTTTTCTGTGTTAGTTTAGCATTCCAGATTGCATTATTTAAATATTCATACTAAGCTGTGCAAACATAATTTGTAATACGCTAAATTACAGTTAAGTAGCACAACATTAAATAGTTTTTTGGCTAGATTTTTCTTCTAGTGTTTTCTCTTCTCTTTTTGGTATTTTGTGTTCTCTTGTGCTCAGCCTTTTCTTCTTTTTAGTTAAAAGAACATTCTATAGCAACATTTTAATTTTTGCATTGGTGCCGTTATTTGAGGAGGTATACTAACTGTTTCTCATATTAACCTTGCTTAGAATGTAAAAAAGACATTTTTCTTGAAAAAAAAAGCCTAGAAAATATGAAAACATTATAACCTGCAGTTATTTTAATTTCTATGAAAGCATGATGATTTCATATAAAATTAATAATCATCAGCAAAGAATAATGTTTCAGTGTGCTTACTAACATCTCAGTCTTTTGGAACATATAAGAAACTTAGCATTTGTAGCAAAAGAAAAAATAGTGAAATAAAACCTAAATTGTTATGGTTTTTTAATTATTGAAAAGTTTTGATAAATACAACTCAATAAGAAAGTCAGTGGATAATAAGCACAAATAAATGGGATTTATAACCCCGCCTTCAAAACACTGCATAAACACATGCATGCACACATGCATGTACACACACACGTGAGGTACTCATTCTTGCCTTCTCTCTTTCTCATTATCCATTATGGTTACAGTTATGAGTATGCCTTAAACACGAAGGAAATTTCAATAACAGATGAAAGCTCAGTTCAGAGTAAATGTATTAGCTACCAAGATATTAATCCTAAAGAGAACAAAAATATATCAAAAGCAAGGAGCATTAAAGAATATTAGAGGAAGGCATGGCCAGGCGCGGTGGCTCATGCCTGTAATCCCAGCACTTCGGGAGGCTGAGGCAGGTGGATCATGAGGTCAACAGATCGAGACCATCCTGGCTAACATGGTGAAACCCCGTCTCTACTAAAAATACAAAAAATTAGCCAGGCGTGGTGGTGGGTGCCTGAAGTCCCAGCTACTTGGGAGGCTGAGGCAGGAGAATGGCGTGAACCCAGGAGGCGGAGCTTGCAGTGAGCCGAGATTGCACCACTGCACTCCAGCCTGGGCGACAGAGCAAGACTCCGTCTCAAAAAAAAAAAATGTTATAAGCAGGCATTGACTTACTTTTTTCCTCTCCTCTACCTTAAGCTGTGGAAAATGTCAGAGTTGGAGACTTTTTTTTTCTTTTGAAAGAAGTAGGCTTTTCGTGTATATGTGTGTGTGTGTGTGTGTGTGTGTGTGTGTGTGTGTGTTTGAGTAGACTTTGTTTTGGGTCTAGGCAATTTCACTTTCTCTGCCTTTGAAAAAAAATTCATGAAGGGCCATAGATTCTTACTTTAAATGAGCAGGGAGTGTTCTCAGACACCTTTCCATCTCCTCTAACCATGTCACCTACTCCCATGTCCCTAGCCATGAACATAGTACTTTATATACCCCATACGTATCTTTCTGTTTATTTACCATCATCTCTGTATATTCTTAAGCAAATATATATACATACACGCTCTTCACAGGTGTCTTTATTATAATAGAGTTATGTAACCCAGTGCTATTGTTTAAACTTGCTTTCTGTACAGCCTCTGCATTTTCTTTTTTGTTGATGTAAAACTCTAGGATCAGACAACATCAGACCAAACAAGGACCCACTGAAAGTTCAAATTTTGAGGGAAAAATATATTCCTTAGCTATAGATTTAAAGCTTACTTTTCTCTCCTTTAGGGTTCTGGAAAGAATTCTCTATGGACTTATATCTCTTATTCCCACAATTGGAAGTGGATCTTTACTACAATCCTAAATGTAACCTTTAATGTTAGTAATGGTGCTGGTTATGGTAATAGCAGTTGTCGAATAATAGGGTTGCAGTTAAGGAAAGGGTTTGTACTACTACTACTACTACTAATTCTCGTAGTGCTCCCTTCTCTCCAGTTTTATAATATTTTGATGTTAATTAATGTACCATCTACTTTTAAAAAAAGATAAATTTAAAAATTAATGTACCATTTTATTAGGAACCCTATTAGCTAAAAATATTTCAGGCTTTATTTTACAAATGTTCTAGACTCTACAAAGTATTAGAATGAATTCTTTCAAAGTTAACTGATAAGGACGTTTTTGAAAAAATGATATAACATTATATATTTAGGACAACTTTCTTCATGTTGTTTTAGGGTCTCTTCTTCATCAGCATTTTTTCATTCTTTCATTAATTCTGTTGTTTTATATGACCCAAGGCATTTATTGATGACATAAAGCCACAGGCTGACTTGAATCTTGCTAGATTGTGCTTTGTGATGTGATATCTTAAAAAAACAAAACCAAAAAAGGAATCCTTATTGTGACAACTTGAGACTTGCAAAATACATTCTGAGTGTAATATGTAACAAAAGGCAAAGTTTAAGACAATGGAATGGTGACAGGACCCATTATCTCTTCAGCTTTTGTTATTGTTGTCTGTAGATAAAATTAAACATAAAGTCCCAAAGTAATAGTGAGGTATTGGAACCCTCATTCTGCTTGCTTTGGTTGCCAGGGGTAATTGTACTGCAGTGGCCAGGAGTAGAAAAAGGATGTTTGATGGTCAGACCTGTGATTTGGGAGGTACTGATAACATGGTGGGAGCGTGAACAGAAGAAATACATAATGAAACATCTCAAGTTACTTATTATTACAGATGGCAAAAATTGCCTCCAGCCACAGTTTATAGTAAAAGCTGTTTTCTTAGTGGGGAAATCCCACATCCAGCCTTTTCAAATCTAGTTACAAGAAAAAAATTAGCATCTAGTTACGATAATAAATGAGCATCTTTGTGAAATGCAGTATCAGTCTGCCCTGAACATAGGGGTTTTATTTCCCTCCTGGGGAGGAAAGTGGTGACACACACTTTTTCCCAGTAATGTTTTATCAGGGGCATTCTAATAAAACCTTAAGATGGTGGGGGAGAATAGTACATTTTCTTTTTCTTTTTCCTTTCTTTTTCCTCTTCTCTTTGCTTCACTTTGCTTTGCTTTTCTTTTTATTTTCCCACAGAGTCTTGCTCTGTCACCCAGGCTGGAGTGCAGTGGCATGATCTTGATTCACTGCACCTTCTGCCTCCCGGGTTTAAGTGATCTTCCCACCTCAGCCTCCCAAGTAGCTGGGACTACAGGTGCATGCCACCATGCCCAGCTAATTTTTGTATTTTTTGTAGAGATGGGAGAGGCGGGGGGAGTCTCATATTGCCCAGATTGGTCTTGAACTCCTAGGATATTTAAGTGATCCACCTGCCTTGGCCTGCCAAAATGTTGGAATTACAGGCCTGAGCTACCGTGCCCACCAGAGAAGAGTCAATTTTCACTTGGCTTTATTCTATAGAGGCAGGGCTCCTCAAAATAAAGAACTTGGCACAGAATAGCTTTGTTAGTCTGTTGTCTCATCCTCACTCTATTCTAGAGCAGTTTTTCAAGCACCTGAAAGTATGGCTACAGGAAAGTAGCATGATATGGACTTTGAAGTAGTTTTGAATTACAACTTATTATCATCACTTTTTGCAAGTGGGCAGACCACATAATTTCTTTGTACTTGTGTTCTTATCTGTAATATACAAATAGTTACCTCATAGTATTTCAAGAACTGAGGTAATAATGAGTAATTGCCACAGTTGTCCACACAGGCACTCAAAAAGAGTTAATCCTTTTGCCCTTCTTTTCCTCTAATTTTTGCCTGTAGATTGGCAAAAGAATGTGTGAACTAAAAGGTGGTGGCTTTCATTAGCTACTGCAATATTTACTGGACTTTTCAGACCTTGGAAGCCTTTAGCTTAGGGATCTTTTTTATTACAGAACCTTCTCTACTTACGAAGTTTTATCATAGGAATTTTTAAAGATAGATGTGGCAGAACCTTTTCTATAGCCTGAATGTTTTGACTGTACCCAATACCAGCGGTTGGTAGTAATGGTTCCTTGAAAACTTGTCACTTTTCACATGCAGCAAAAAGGATTTACTAGGATAGGCTACAACTTTAAAACTCTAAAGTTGAAATCACATAAGATGACAAAACTTTATGCATCTCTCATGCTGTTTGTCCAGTGGGATTACCCTGAGGACCTCTGCTCATTGCAGTCACCCAGGCATCCATCCTGATGGAGGAACTATCTAGATAATTCATCCCACTTTCATCAAGGAAGGGGCAAGGAAGGTGGTGAATCCTATACCACTTTTAATGCTTCTGCCCTAAGGTGACACATATTAGTTGTACTCACATTTCATTAACCAAAGCAAGTGATATGGCTGTGCCTAACTTTAAAAAGGGATAGAAAATGCCAATCTGCTCATGTATCAAGAAGGAGGTCTGGACTGTTTGTGAACAGCTGTAGGGAGTACCAGCAGAGATGGAGTGGGGATCTGATTCAGATCTGCCTGTTTCTAAAATTCATTCTCTTCATTACCTCAGTAAATTGATAGAATCTTATCTTCAGGATGTAAAAGTTGGAATCTATTGACCATAAGAGTATGAGTTTTCTTCTCTATACAAGAATCTAATAAATGTCATAAAATATCAATAGAATCTTCAGTTGTCTTGTTCTGTATGTAGTCCTAGGTATGTTTCCTAGGTACGATGTTTCAGAATCCAGTCAGTCCACTGTGCTGACTCTGTAAAGTATGTAAAGTCATATATTGTTATTTTTGCATTCCTTCTCTTGTTTTCTGCTTTAAAATAAATTATGAGAACATGCTTAAGGAGTTTTCTACAATAATATTGTGCAGAGCCTTTCCAAGATGTTTACCTTTTTTCTTTCTTTCTCTTTCTCCCTCCCTCCTTTCCTTCCTCCCTCCCTCCCTCCCTCCCTCCCTCCCTTTTTTCTTCCCTTTCCCTTTTCTTTTCCTTCCTTCTTTTTATTTCTTTTCTTTGGTTTCTCATTCTGGACTGGGTGCGGTGGCTCACACCTGTAATCCCAGCACTTTGGGAGGCTGAGGCTGGCGGATCAGGAGGTCAGGAGTTTGAGACCAGCCTGGCTAATATGTTGAAACCCTGTCTCTACTAAAAATACAAAAATTAGCTGGGCATGGTAGCGCGTGCCTGTAGTCCCAGCTACTTGGGAGGCTGAGGCGGAAGAATCACTTGAATTCAGGAGGCAGAGGTTGCAGTGAGCTGAGATCATGCCACTGCACTCCAGCCTGGGTAACAGAGCGAGACTCCATCTCAAAAATAAAAGAAGAAGAAAGTTTCTTATTCTGCCACCGAGGCTGGAGTGCAGTGGTATGATCATGGTCCACTGCTGCCTTGACCTCCTGCCTCAGCCTCCCAAGTAGCTGGGACCACAGGTGCATACCACCATGTCTGACTAATCAATCCTTCCTTCCTTCCTTCCTTCCTTCCTTCCTTCCTTCCTTCCTTCCTTCCT